TCCAGAGGAGGGACAGTGGTTTGGACATGTCCAGAGGAGGGACAGTGAGTATATTGGTAGAAAGATGTTAGAAATGCAGCTGCCAGGAAAAGACAAAGAGGAGACATCTGGATGCAGTTAGAGAGGACATGGAGGTAGTTGGAGTGAGGACAGAGATGGAGGAGGACTCACTGTGGAGACCCCTGAAGGGGGAAAAGAAGAAGTAGCCAAACTACATAAAAATGTGATATTTGTTCCAATAACTCGATGTTAAACTGGCTCCACGTCCTGCTCTGGGTTCCCAGGTTTCGTTGCTCTCTTGAGTATGAGTTCATAATGAAGCGCCGTTTGGAGGATCAGGAAACGGTTTTTGCGACGCAGCAGCGGCGTCATGCTGCCAACGTGGAAGCTTTGCAGCAGGTGCACCGCCTCCTGGCCCCCGCTGTGTACGAGGCTGTGACAGACAACATGCAGCCCACGGCTGGCGTCCAGTACTCAGTTCCACAGGGATACCAGGTAGAATTACACCATCTTTTTATTGTTGTAGACAGTTGCAGCTAAATCCTTCAAATGAAATGCCTGCACTTTCCCAGGTTCCCACTGTGGCCCAGAACAGTGGTGGGCACGGGCACACTCCAAGCCCAGCGGTCCACACAGCGCCCCACCACCACAGCCCGGCAGTGCAGTCCCACGGGCCCTCGGTGATGCCGGGACACGGACATACGGCGGCTCCACCGGCCTCTTCACAGGGCCACCAGCAGTTCCAGAGGCTTAAGGTTGGTGTGATCGTTGAATGACTGCGCTGAAGACGCCGTACCTGAGATATTAAAGTTTAAAAAGATCGTTTTCCTCTCTGTTAGGTGGAAGATGCTTTATCTTACTTGGATCAAGTGAAACTACAGTTTGGCAACCATCCTCAGGTCTACAATGACTTTTTAGATATAATGAAGGAGTTCAAGTCCCAAAGGTGAGGCAGCTTCTTGACGTCGCAGCAGGTGAGCCCCTGCACAGCAGAGTTTGAACTCTTTGCTCTCGTCTGTTTGTTGTTTAAGCATCGACACGCCCGGCGTCATCAGCAGAGTGTCGCAGCTCTTTAAAGGCCACCCCGACCTCATCATGGGCTTCAACACCTTCCTTCCTCCGGGCTACAAGATCGAGGTTCAGACCAACGACCTGGTCAACGTGACGACGCCCGGTCAGATCCACCACATCACCCCGCACGGCATTTCGGTGCAGAACATCCCCATAACAGGAGCAGGCACCCAGCATCCGCCACAGCCCCCATCATCTGCTGTGAAAACCACCGCTCCGCCTCTGCCCACACAAACCACACCTGCCAAGATGAGCAAGGTGGGGTGGAGCGAACCGACCCCGCCTGCAGCCGGTATCGACTTATTCTTCTGTTTATGTTGACGTAACGCTTCCTTTCACTGTTTTTCTTCAAGCCTCCTCAGCCTCCGGCATTAACGACCAGCAGCCAGACAAATCCGTCCATCCCTGTGTACACCGCCCCTCGCTCCCCGCCTATTCCGCTCCACCCGCCCCCTAGCGGGACCCCCACAGGCCCGCCTATGCAGAACAACCAGCCCGTGGAGTTCAACCATGCCATCAATTACGTCAACAAGATCAAGAACCGCTTCCAGGGCCAGCCCGACATCTACAAAGCCTTCCTGGAGATTCTCCACACGTACCAGGTCAGACTCGGGTCTAACAATCAAAACGACGACTTTTTGTTTGTTTTATCAGATCATGATGTCATGAGTTTTACCGTAGAAGGAGCAGCGGAATGCGAAGGAGGCCGGGGGGAACTACACGCCGGCTCTGACAGAACAGGAAGTGTACGCTCAGGTGGCCAGGCTCTTCAAGAACCAAGAGGACCTGCTCTCAGAGTTTGGCCAGTTTCTGCCTGACGCCAACAGTTCAGCAGTAAGACGATAAATTCACCACTTTTTATACTTTATAAACGCTTAAACTAACCGCTAACATGAGATGAGCTCTAAATACCACAGGTTCGTTGGGGAGTACAACGTTGCTTGTGCACTCGTGTTTAGGCCCGTCACGATAAACAATAAATCAATTAATCGCATGATAATTAAAAATTATCAGCCTCGTTTTCATTTATCGGCTTTATCGTTTCTTGGTGTCTCTCTCTTTCTACTGAAGACACTGGATGACAAAAGACTCAGCTCCGGTGCTCTTCACTGACCCCTCCCTTTGTCTCTTTTTCTTTAAAATCTGTTTTAACGATCCAAAATCACGTTTTTGGATCGTTAAAAGTAGCTAAGCTACGAGCTAAACTAACAGGCCGACCTCGGGGGGAGGGGGGGGGGGGGGGAACAAACTCCGTCTTGTCGAAGCTCCAAAATTCACCGTTGAAACTCGTGCTTTCGTGTAAAAAGTTGTTTTTATCTGCAAAAAGAAGCTGAGAACTTGTTTACTGATTTTTTTTTAAATTAAAAGCTTTGTGTGAAGAATGCTAAAGAGCTCAAACCGCACCGAGCGTCCGCCATTTTGAGAAACTGAAAAAAAGGAAGGAGAGACAGCCCATGTCATGTCAAGGGGCCTCCCTCCCATTTTTCTAAGAGACACGCTGCTCGCTCCCTCACTATCCATCCTTCAGTTCAAACAGTCTCATACTGCCATCCAGTGGTTGAAAAAGGTACTACACACAAAACTTAACCAACATTTCTACTTAAATTTGACAATAATTACTAATTATTGTCAAATTTCAAACAGTATTATCGTTTATTGAGACAATTAATCGCCCAGCTAAATTTATCGTGACAGACCTACTCGTGCTAATCCTTTATTTCTCTGTAGATGTTAAGTAAGACCACAGCTGAAAAGGCAGAGTCGGTGAAGAACGACCACGGTCTCACCTCCAAAAAGCTGCAGCTCAACAACAAGCAGAGGCTCAATCAGAACGGCTGTCCGATCCGGCGCCACTCCACTCCAGGGAGCACGCCCCCCGTCAAGGTTCACGCACTGCAACTGCTTCCTGTTTCGTTTTCATTCCCAGGTTTCATATCTACCATGAGCCCCTGGTTTGTAACAGTTGTCTCTGTTTGCTGCAGAAGAAGCCCAAGTTACTGAACTTAAAGGACCCGTCGGTGGCAGACCCCGGCAAGCACGGAGTCGGAACCGAGTCTCTGTTCTTTGAGAAGGTGAGTCGTTTGAATTTGGTTTCCTCTTGAGCAGAACATAAAGGGTTCAACAAGTCACTGAATAAAAGATAGAATTACAGTCCGGTGTTTCCTCTAGGCCACTTGCCTAGAGAGGGCGTTTGTCGACCGGGTGGGGTTAGCGGAGCGATATGTCCGTGTTTTTAATGATAATGCTATGTCTGAGCTGCTACAATCTCTGATCCCTGTCCAGAAGTAGCGGGCATGCTAATAATAATTATTAGTGTGTGTGTGTCTTTGTATTTGTTATCTTGTAAGGCTCGTTTTTCTAACACATACCGTATTTTCCGGCCTATAAGTTGCACCTTTTTGCATAATTTGCATATACCCTGCGACTTATACGCCGAAGCGACATATTTGTTTTTTCCCATATTTATAAACCAATTTTTGGCTGAGATACGACGTTTTCATTCATCCTGACTGAAAATATTGAACACTACCATTTTCAGTCGCTAGATGGCACTCGAGTAGTATGGCATGCCGTTGCGTCATGTAATAGGTAAAAGTGGCTATTAATGACACACTTGGCTTGCCATAGCCTGCCACCTTCATCCAGTTCCGGGATCATGCCTGGAGCAACCGTCATATCAACTTCATTTTGCTGCGCTGCCCCGGTGAAATGAAGCTGATTTGACCATTGAAGTGCATTTATTAAGTAAAAATTCAGCTGAGACGCACCTTTACTATAATTTCAATCAAACAAATAATTTTTTAAGTGTTAATCCCGTGCACGCTCCCACGGCCGCCATTTGGCAGCCAATTTTTTTTGGCACAACACCGGCCCACATTTCTGGGTTGTCGGTGACGCATAACAAAAGCGACTTGTACGACGAAGTGACATTTTAATGTGTTTTTTTTTTCACTTTATTAGACAAATATGGACTGATGTGATGTGTACGGCGGAAAATATGGTACTACATTGTGAGAACCAGCCTCTCCTTATGGGGCCCGGGCCCCATAAAAAGAAGTGCCCTTTGTTGGGTTCGGTTTAGGACTAAGGAGTGAGGATGGGTTGGATTTAGTGCTAGCTATGTACTGGTAATGGTTAGTTGTAGGGTCAGGTTCGGGGTTAGAGATGAAAGAATAATTAATGGAAGTCGATGCAAAGTCCCTGTAAAGAAAGAAAGACAAATGTGTGCATGTGCGTGTAAACCTACAAGCATTTGAAGAAACTGCTTTTTAGTTTTTATATTGCTTAAAAGTATAGTTTTTTTCTAATGGTTGGGGTGGCTGCAGACAAATCAAAGGTGGCCATGGCCCCCCCTGGCCACCCCCTGTCCCCGCTACTGCAGTTGGTTGTGGATAAAATTGCCCCCTCCTCCACTCACCTGCACTAAACTCCATTAAGAAGGGTTCGCACCTGTTTCCAGATACCTGTGACTATTATGGGAAAGCGGGATCCTGCGATTTGTGCAAGGAAATAAGGAACTCTTGTGAACGTCTCGAGGTGAATGACGTTCATCTCTCATGGTCGCCGCGAAGCTTTAGCTCCAGTTTAACTCCAGTTTAACTCCCATTTACTTCCAAGAGATTGAAAGATTTTCAGCATTTCTTCTGTGCTGATCTTCAAACCGTAGTGATTTGTTGTGAAGGTTTCAGTAGATTTTAGTGTTTATTTTTGTGAAAGTGTCCCCACAGTTACAGTAATGAATTCTTCGCAGTTATAGTGGACTTCAAGAGGGATTCACCCGCAGCTTGTAGCTGTCCCAGCTTCATCTGTTGAACGCTGCAGTCCCACGACAGGCCTGAGAAACCCACACCTGACCCGTCATTTAAAGTAAAACGTTGAGAGGAAAACTGGAGGTTTTTATTCTGCGGCGGTCATTCCTCATGTGGAGAGTTTAAATCTCGTTTCATACGTTCACCATGACTACAGTCAAAACTAAAGCCCGTTTTTTTTAGTAATCATAAGTTAAAATTCGAGCTAAGAGCACAAACGATCAATAAGTGTTTTGCTTTTTTCCAACAAACAAATAAACCCATCACACTCAGGATGTTCTGTTCCTTTTTCTCACATTTAAATGCTTGTTTTTAATATGCTAAAAGAAAAATATATATTATGAATGTGTTTTCTGTTGTCACTGCAGATGATTTTATACGTCTGAGATAAGTTTCTGCACTTGCATTTTACGTTCTAACGTCTGGAACTCGTTCCAGGTGCGTAAAGCCTTGCGAAGTGTGGAGGCCTACGACAACTTCCTGCGCTGTCTGGTCATCTTTAACCAGGAGGTGATCTCCAGGGCTGAGCTGGTGCAGCTGGTGCTGCCCTTTCTGGGGTGAGTGGACCGTCTTTCAGGCGAGCGACGCTCCGTTAGAGACCGCAGTTTTCTTCATGTTCATTTGGATTTTGTTTCGTAGAAAATTCCCCGAGCTGTTCAACTGGTTCAAAAACTTCCTGGGGTACCGTGAGATGTCCCACATGGAAACGTACCCGAAGGAGCGGGCCACAGAGGGCATCGCCATGGAGATTGATTATGCTTCCTGTAAGAGGCTCGGCTCCAGCTACAGAGCTCTGCCCAAGAGCTACCAGCAGCCCAAATGTACCGGCAGAACTCCTCTCTGCAAAGAGGTGAGGCATGAAACCCATCGACTCCGTCGCTCGTTTGAATGCGTCTTTCAGATAAGCTGGAGTTTTGTGTCCGACTGGGCTGGTCAGAGTTGCTGCCGGTTTGCCCACTTTGTCGTTATATTTAATGAGTTTTCAACCCCTGCTAGCGAGGTTATTTTTATTTAATCATAATAGCGACTAATCTAGCTGCTGATGCTGGAAGCCCCGCCCCCATCCCAGAGCTCTGACAGGCAGTCTCACGAGGTCTTAATCCCAGCTGCAGTCGGAGCAGAGGAGACCCACCACATTCATACTACAGAAGAAGACAACGTTCATCTCAAAACACCAATATTCCTGTAATTTCCAGACTTTTGAGTGCACCTACTAAATAAAATAAAAAAAAATCTGCATGTATGGGCCGCACTTGTCTATAAGCTGCAGGTGTCATAACATGAGATATTTACACAAAGGTTTTTTTACTTTTATTTAAATACGTAACAGTAACATACACAAATACATGCAGTAAATGTTTTTTTTACGAGCGGTGCCTGTAACAGCTGATTTAAAAAATAAATACAGTAGCCTACGAGGAAGTCAGTGATCATCTTCCTCCTGTGCACTAAAGTCGTCTTCATCAGTGTCAGGATTGAAGAGCTTCAGAAAAACTTCCATCGTCCTCTGTCTCTCATTCGTTGTCGCTCTCAGCGTGACTTTGTCTCGAGACAAATGCGCGATTTGATTTGTGGTTCACACTTATTTTGAGTGGCTGAAATACGTCATCGTATTAATGAATTAATTAATAAATACCAATGATTTCATTGGTGCACTGTGACCTGTTCAGTAATTGGTCAGATTTTTTTTACCTTCATTTATAGAGGTAGTCTTATGGAGTCACGAGGACCCCCCCTCCAAGAGAGATGTGTATTGGACAGTTATGTGAGCGCCTGGGTCTGACAAGGCTAAATGTTTTGGCGGCAGGAAGCTCAACTCGTTAGCCCGTCAAGAAAAAATACAAATAAAAAAATCCATAAATTAGCCGCAGTATTGTATAAGCCGTGGTGTTCAAAGCGCGTGAAAAAAGTAGCGGCTTATAGTTCGGTAATTACGGTAAATTGATTTGTGTAATGTGGGTAGTCATGAAACATGTGAAGTTAATTAAATTTAAACACATGAAGTGTTTTCACTCACTTTTTGTCCCTCTCAACATTAGAGATGCACCGATCCGATACCAATATCTGTATCAGTACCGATATTTGGGGGTTACCGAACTTCAGGACCGGGTATCGTGACAATGTGACCGATCCATGACTGGGCAGATCTATTCACTCTAATTCTACGCTTTGTGCTCTGGGTGACGTCACGCTCTATAGCGTACTGCCTGAACCAATTAAAGTTGTGTTGTTTTTACATGTTTGACCGAGCTTGTGAAGCTCTTGGTGTGTGAGTTTTCAATAAATTTGTAATTCAGTACATAAAACAAATGTTTTAAGTTCATTCAGCACTGGGTTTGTAAGCTCAATCATCCAGGTAGACAACAAAACAGGTTAAATCATGTCATCTGAAACAGGTCCAGATGACATGATTTAGCCTGTTTTGTTAATTCAGCACTGTTTTTCTGCATCGTATCGGTATCGGATCGGTATCTACGACACTAAACCGCATATATCGGTATCGGATCGGTATCTGTGACACTAAACTGCAGGTATCGGTATTGGATCGGAAGTGAAAAAAGTGGATCGGTGCATCCCTGCTCAACATTTTTATTTTTCTTTCCTACAGCCTAGATCACAGTTTCATTAAAATGAACAAATATGTAAATTAGGTGATGACGTCATTAGCGGATTATAGCTCCTTCAAGGACAGCCAGTAGCTACTTTCCTCACAGAGGAGTTGGCAACAGTGCTGGCCCATGCGTGCACGTGACAGTTTTTTTTAGAATAACGTCCATAAAAAGTACAGAAACCTGTTTTTATTCTTCAATTTTCATAAAGCTGACATTTAAAACCTCATCTGTGTTGACAGAGTTCCCCTCCGTATTAATTGAATTTTCACAACTCCACCTCGTTCAGGTCCTGAATGACACCTGGGTGTCCTTCCCCTCCTGGTCTGAAGACTCCACGTTTGTCAGCTCCAAGAAGACTCAGTACGAGGAGCACATCTACCGCTGTGAAGATGAACGCTTCGAGGTGAGCAGCACGATCTCGGTGACTTCGCCGAGACACCGGCGTCCTCTTCTTGTTTAAACTGTCACGGGGAACTCGTGACACCTCCATTGTCCTCTGCACAGCTGGATGTTGTCCTCGAGACCAACCTGGCCACCATCAGGGTGCTGGAGACCGTGCAGCGGAAATTGTCCCGCATGTCCGCGGAAGAACAGGCCAAGTTTCGCCTGGACAACACGATGGGCGGCTCCTCGGAGGTCGTCCACCGGAAAGCCATCCAGAGGATATACGGAGACAAGGCGCTGGACATCCTGGACGGCCTGAAGAAAAACCCCGCTGTCTCTGTCCCCATCGTGTTAAAACGGTGAGCAGAGCCTGAACCTCTCCACAGTCTGATCATCGTTTTATCCGTTCGTTTAGCACTTTTGAATGTTACGAGGTTTCTGGCGTGTCCCTTGAAGGTGTTCTGAGTGCGCTGCTTGACTTTGGCGTCCTTTTTAAACCAGGTTAAAAACAAAAGAGGAAGAGTGGCGGGAAGCCCAGCGAGGCTTCAACAAGATCTGGAGGGAGCAGAACGAGAAGTATTACCTCAAATCTCTGGACCATCAAGGCATCAATTTCAAACAGAACGACACCAAAGTGCTTCGATCCAAGTCTTTGCTTAATGAAATCGAAAGCATCTACGATGAGGTGAGGATGTCCTTCCTGCCTTTCTGTCTTGTCTGATTAGCTTGTGTTTCTCAGGAGGAACAGGATTTACGCTGAAATATCGTAAGCACGCTGAAACACTGTAAACACGCAGAAACCCCATAAACACGTAGAAACATCGTAAACTCGTAGAAGCACCGTAAACAAAACGCGTAGAAACACTGTAAATGTAGAAAAAAGTCATAAACACGTAGAAACACCGTAAATGTAGAAAGACCGTAAATGTAAAAATACCGTAAACACGTAGAAAAATATCGTAAACACGTAGAAACACCATAAACACGTAGAAACACCTTAAACACGTAGAAACATCGTAAACATGCTGAAACACCGTAAAAACGTAGAAACATTGTAAAAACGTAGAAACGTAAACGCGTAGAAACACCGTAAATGCGTAGAAACATTGTAAACATGCTGAAACACCGTAAAAACTTAGAAACATTGTAAAAACGTAGAAACGTAAACGCGTAGAAACGTAAACGCGTAGAAACATCGTAAACACGTAGAAACATCGTAAACACGTAGAAACATCATAAACATGTTGAAACATCATAAACATGTTGAAACACCGTAAACGCGTAGAAACATCATAAACATGTAGAAACATTGTAAAC